CATCCCCCAGCCTGTAGTGATACCGTGGGTTGCCCCGACCCAGGTGCAGGAGCTTGCACTTGGCCTTGTTGAACCTCATGAGGTTCACACGGGCCCACTTCTCCAGCTTGTCCAGGTCCCTCTGGATGGCATCCTGTCCGTCTGGTGTGTCGACCGCACCACTCAGCTTGGTGTCATCTGCAAACCTGCTGAGGACGCACTCGATCCCACTGTCCATGTCATTGATGAAGATATTAAACAGTACTGGTCCCAATACGGACCCCTGAGGGACACCACTTGTCACCGATCTCCACCTGGACATTGAGCCATTGACCACTACCCTCTGGATGTGACTATCCAACCAATTCCTCACCCACCGGACAGTCCACCCATCAAATCCATACCTCTCCAGTTTAGAGAGAAGGCTGTTGTGGAGCACCATGTCAAAGGCCTTACAGAAGTCCAGGCAGATGACATCTGTAGCCCTTCCCGTGTCCACTGATGTAGTCACTCCATCATAGAAGGCCACTAGGTTGGTCAGGCAAGACTAGATATATATAGGCAATATACATATCCATATATATCCACAAATATAGCCACCATTTGGTTTGGACATTTTAAAAATATTTGAAATACTCAGTAATCAAGATGGTGCACTGTTGTAATCGCTGCTGCCTGAGAAAAGGGTGCAGTGCTTGTGGCTCATTAGGAATCAACAAATTTTTGCAGTCGCCCTATCATCTTCTCATTATGCAGGTCATTCAAGAAAAGAAGTCATGACTGATCTTTATTAAAAACAAGAAATAAAAAGCAGAATTAATGACAACTGACTCCTGCAGAGCCATTTTGCCAGTGTCCTAAATATTGAGATCACAAAGAATACCCACGATCCATAATGCTATTTTTTACTAACTGCTTAACTTTTCCATCAACATGCACCACAATGAAATCAAACAAGGAAACAAATGCAACACTTCAAATATAAACAGATAAACGGCTTAACAAACTTTGTTGTTACTATATCTTATTCCGGTATGAATACCATTGCCTACAGCAAGAGGAAAAGGAAAGATTAAAAGATATATCATAGTATTTGTACTTAGGCCAAGTGTCCATCAACGCTAGTGTCTATCTACAGCAACGGCTAGTAACACTTGCTAAGAGTAAAAACAAAAAATAGTGCATCATTGATATTTGCTTGCTTCTGGCAGTCATTAACTGCAAGATTTCAAGAGCTGGATTTTACATCACATCTAGTAGGATGGATCTATGTTATAAAACCTTGCAGAACTGCTTTTTGAACCTATGTATTAGTGCAGTAGCTCATCCTGTATACCAGCAAGCGAATACATTCATGAGAGAGATGCAAAATCATTGCTTTCTAAAAGGTTTTCAGACTTGGGTTACATAGCAAGGAGCTCTGCAGAGGCAATTCTCAGTAGGTGATTTAGTTTTAGTATATACCAGTTTAATAATCTGAATGAGCTGATGGAACAAAACTGATAGGCAGAAATAAGTGCTTTTTTGGCTCTGCTATTGGAGCAGATCACTTTATAAACAGCACCAGACAGGCCATTAGTCTAAAGGTTTTAGACATAGTTTTACTCTATACAAATCAATATATTCATACATTCAGCAATAACATAAGAAGCATACATTCTGGCATGTGAATAACAAGCAGACAAAAAATAAAACTAATGCAAAAGAAAGAAAAAAAGGAATTACCTTCTTGCATTTTTTTGCAGTGTATTGCAGTCAGACTCTTTAATTGAAGTTGATACTTTTTGCTTAGCCAGGATTATTTCTTTAGCCTAAAATAAAAATAGACAGAAAAATAAGTCTCATAAAAGTTGATATTTATGCTCACAGGCATTTAAATAACTTCTCAAAAATAGAAAAATTAAGACAGTCTGAATAAATTTTCTCTTGTGACACTTACTTACTCTTTGTTAGATTTTAACACTTCACTCAGCATGAAAAACATGCGTAAGGCAATTTTAACAAAATGATCTGAATGGAATTATATTCAAATATATATATGAGTATATATATAAATATTTAAATATATACATCTATTTGTATTTAAATATATGCTGTCTTGTTTAGTACCGTATTAATAATGCACATCATTGCTGATTTTCTCCATAGCTAACTGGTTCACGATGTGCTTTCCACTTGCATTTCAGTTCTGGTGTCCATGTGCTAGTTCAGACATTTTTATTAAAGAATCTGCTGCAGTCTGGACTCCTCTCCACTCTTTATAAAAGGGATGAGTGACCACAAACTCCCTCAGCTCCTTTGCTAGAACAGAATCTTAAGTTCAAAGTCCACGTGAATTCCCCTTCTCAAAGAAAACATGTTCATCACCATTTTTTGGAAGAC